AAAAAGTACAATGTTTACGTCCCTCTTCGTTACACAAAATTAGAAAATGATGAAGAAAAGGGACGTTCTCTACTAGAGTATCGACTGCACTTGTCTACACATGTATCACTATCTCATCTATACGAGTTATTCAGAGAAAACAAAAGTCTGATCAACAGACTGATCGGAGTAAGATAATAACAAGAGAGCAGCACTAAAGTATGTCAATTCCTCTACAATACTTTTAATCTCCGTATGATACCAACAGATGAAGCCTAATTCCATCAGTTAAACTGCACTATGAAACCGCAAGCTATAGCTCTGATCGTAAAAACCTTATACTGAAAACTGTATTTAGAAACGAAGAAATCATCAGAAAACACAATAATCTCCATCATTTAACCTACCGTGAAATCTTATCAGAGAATTGGAAAAACAGAAACTTAGCTACTGTAGCACTGGCTACATTTATATGTACTAGTACGATTATCTATCACAGTTTTTAGGAAAAAAGGATATGTTCAGTAAAAGGTGTCAAAATGTTAGACACCAAACGATTTCATTCGAAAAACATTGTACGAAAAGTCATTTTCAAAGAAAATTTTCTATCTTGTATAGAAAAATGACACAAAACCGATTATTAACCGCATTATGAGCTAGTGTCTAAGACTTCACTGTCTAGATTACTGATTGTATTTTAATTTAAAAATGTACTGTAAACATGGTAATATAGACAAAGAAAAGATCGATTAATCATTTGAAATCGATGGAAAAACGTTACAAAATAGTCAGTGGCAGCGCAAGTCCACAAACTTTGGGGGGGAGAAGGGGGCAATAATTTTTTTTTCAATGTTTCAATGGGAAAAGAATATCTAATTTTGAGCCATTTTCATTCAGTTTTTTTTTCTTGGTCGCAAGCAAGTGTTACTTCTTTTTTTAAATCGTTCTTCTCTAGTCCGTGCAGAACGGGCAAATTTTTATTGGAGGGGAGGGGCAATTGCCCCTTAACGCCCTGCCGTTGCGCCGCCACTGAAAATAGTTGAACATTATTAGCAATCACAAAAATATTTGTCAAAATATCCCAAATCAGCAGAAATTATTCGTTTACAACTAATAGGATTCGATGCGAAAAAAATGAATACAAAATTAATTTTGACCAATTCAATGATGTCAAAGTAATGAAAGATGCACTATTAGCATTTGTACTATTAGCATTAGCATTTGGGTCGATTACTTAAAAATACTAACAATAAATTCCTACATAAAGTACCACAAAGGCAAGCTGATAAATGGATGTATAACAAGTCATCGACAGGAGATCTTTTTTAAGTACTCTACCAATGCAAGTTAGAAATGATTTAAAGGAGAAGTAACAAACGTTTAATGTCAGTATAATCTTTATATGTTTAAAGACTGAAATACTGTAGAAGAAAAAATTAAAATTAAAAAAAGAAAAGTCTACCTTACTTGATTTTGTCATAAAAAAATGTCTTGAATTATTTATTAATTTATTACAAATGATTTCAAAGCACGGATTGTAGATAATTTATTTACAAAGATAATAACAGAAAGAAAACACAAAACTATCATTCATTAAACTAATTTAAGCATTAAAAAGAAAAGAAAATTAATAGAATGCCATTAACGTATATATGTGTGTGAAACAGATTATTTTTCACTGTTTTCGAATTTGAGAGAAATCAAAACAAAATCAATTGTTGATTATAATATGAGAAAATAATTGAAGAGTAGACTAAAGATAGAATTATTTTCGTATAACAACACTATTATTTTTTTTGACCGTAAGTAAAACATTTTTTTTTATCAGTGCTTTTAAGCAAAACAAAACCTAGAAAAATATATGAAGAAAAGCAGCAAGAGCACTGAAACTAGCCGGAAGACAGACGTTAGATAAAAAATAGTCAAGTACTAATCTTTACCATTCTATTTTTCAATGTCTTAAACACTGATAAGCAAATAGATACACACACACACATACACACATAAAATTGAAAAAGAAGATTTTGGCAAAATGTAAAAATACATAAGATAACGATGTAAATAAAGAAAAAATTATTAAAAAAAGAAAAAAGACAAAATATAAATTTTTCATCATTCTTTTACATAACACAAGAAAAAAGTTGATATATATATCACATTTTTAAAAGAGTAAAATGTGTATGCATTGATTCTTCTATGATAAAGCAGAGAAGAAAACAAAACAAAATTTTATCGAGCGAGATCTATTCATTTCTTGATCTAATATTGTTTTAACAAAAAAAGAAAAAAAAATATAGAAAAGAAAAAATCGACTAGAGATTGAAAACAAATAGAGATTAAATATATATATATAGAAATAAATGCATACGCCGGATCATTCTTCACTATGACTATAATGAATATAGTTTTCTGGTATTAGACCGGTTTTTCCGTTTATAGTACCGAGAACCCAACCAGGTTCACGGGATGATTTAACTGAAAATAGAAATTATGTTTTGTTTATGTACTAAAAATTCGATATAAAGTACATACTATTTGTAATTAATTCATTTGCATTAAAAGATAATTCTGTTTCATTATCTGCTTGACAAGAGTACAATGTAGTGGCTCTTCTATTAAAAGAAACAATGGTTATATGCCAAACAAATAAATAATACTATATTTATTCATACGTCACAGTTTTCTTCAATGCTCTTGTGTTTATTAATGATGATGATGATGCCGTTGATCGTTGAACTGGCATACTTTTATCGGATGTTTGTGGATCAAATTTTGAAGATAAACTATTTACAGATAAACGACTCTGATTTTCAGATGATACTTGTCTAAACAATAGCAAAAACCAAAAAAGATGATAAAATTTATCTCTAGAATAAATACTTTCTCACCGTGAATACGATAACGACGAAAGATTCGAAGAAATACGTGTTTGACTTGATGGATTTGGAGAAGAATCTAGAAATAGAGTTTTCTTTTCAATATTTTTCTATTAGAATAGACTAAAAATTTCTTACTTGGAACAGAATGTACGCCAACAGATGATAAAAAACTTTTAGAACTCAACGACTCGAGACTACTACTCGAACTAGCTAATTAAAGACAAAAAAACAAAATTAAAATCAATATATAGAATTATTTACAGTACACCATGTTTTACATACATTCTTTTCGCTGATTTTCATCGTCATAAACATGTTTACTCTCAGTGCGTACATTATAATCTGGATTATACAGACCTCGCCGTCGAATATCAGCATTTTCTATTTCTGAATGAGGCCGTCTTGTTATGGACTAAATATAATAGCATAGAAAAACAAAGTAAATTATCATGAAAGAAAGAGAATTTTTAATCATACCGCTAATGAGGATAATGAATTACTAATATTAACTGAATTTTCTCCATTTTCGGTTGATCTAGCCATTTCTTCAATTTCTTGTGCGTCAAGTGTTGGTTTAAACATCTACACAGATAAACATGTATTATGTATACATAATGTTTACTTTGAAGAATAACATACTTTTTCACAGTGAGTAATAATCAATTCAACAATTGCATTACGAAATTTTATATCGTAAATAGATGAAACAGTTTCAAATTCTGGACGAAGTAACGATGGACCAAAACAAACACCAAGATTAACGGGAGTCATTAGATTTTTTTCATTTTGACGAGATACGCTAAAATGAGAAGAAATCGTTGTTATTACTTTATGAAAAGTTATAAACTATGGGCCATACTTGGATAAATGAGACATCAATATATATAATAATTCATAATTTTGTTTCGGTAATTCTTTTAAAAGGCTATGAAGAGAACGAATACGTTCAGCTTTATCATCAACCACTAAAAGTAACAATTTCATATTAGAAAGACGATACATTTTCAGAATATGAACTTCAATAGATTTCGACACTATTTGATGTAATCATCAGATGTGTATTGCACCCAGTTGAAACAAAATGTTAGTATTGCTTACTTCCTGCTTCGATAAAACGATTATGAAGTTTGAATGTAAATACAGGTTCTTTTAATGTTCGCAAATATAATTTCAATGCACTACAGATTGTTTTAAGATCAGTGTTATCTTCTTCAACAGGTGTTGCTAATTTTTGTTGCAATGTCTTGTGACTATCTAAAGAATTAATTTACGTTTAATTTCAAACAGAAATAATTCATTTTTTAAACAAAAATATTACCAAAATAAGCAAAAACATAACAATGCACTTTAGATGTCATTCCAACAACACGATAAAGTCCTTGCTCTTGCAGTCCTAAACAAAACAAATAATTTTTTAAACATTTTATATTACATCTAACTGATATTGTTTTACCTTTTCTTTCCACAGCTTGAATACATTTTTTAACAAAATCAATTCCAGCTTCGTCCAATTCATCTATATAAAGGTAAAGAATATGATAGATAAAAAAAATTAGAAATAAATTCCTAACTTTGCATTTCTGTTCGAGCAGATAACGGTGCTTTGGGTGCATACTAAATAAAACTAAAGATTATATTTGTCTCCTTATTAATATCTATTTTTACAATTTGTCCGCCCATTTCCGACACCCAACTTTCAAAATCTTCTTCTGTTATTGCTTGAAATGTAAATATTGTTGTTTTATCTGATGATATTCCTTTTTCAATTGCATGTACATCAAACAAAAATCGTTTATCTAATTTTTCATCTTGTGGATGAATTGTACATGTGCGAACAAATAATTCACCTGGACTAACCTATTGAAAAAACGAACAAACGGTACAATGTCAGTCGATTAAATTAACAACTATGTATTAACATGTAAACATACTTGTTTATTGCTTGTTTGAGTAAAATTCATCATTCGTAACAATGCGATATCTTTCTTATATTGACAATAATATTTAGTTAATGATGTGGTACCAATCAATGCTTCTAAATTAGCAAATAAACAATAGATTATTGAATAATAGAAGGTAAAACAAAATAAGAGATACTTTTTTCAACCAAAAACAGATATCCTTCTTTATTAAATTCTTGATTTTTCAACATATGTTCTTCAGGTCTCTAAAACAAAATACAAAAAAAATAGTCATCAGATGAATTGATAAAATCTTCTTTTATCTTATCTACCTGTAACATTTTACGTTTAAGATCTTCTCCTTCACGATGAAAACAATCGAAATTTTCTCGACACTAAAATCATAAAGATATTAGTGAGAATCGTTTACAATTCTTTACTTTCAATAGATGTTAATTACCTTAAGAACACGATGATGTAAAAATTTGATAAAAAAATCAAATTCTTTATAAATTTCATAACCTATTACAAATAATAAATAATATTAGTCTCAATTAACACAATTGGCACTAAAAAATATATTTATTTTTACCTGCATGATAAAATGATAGAAAATTCAGCATTAAAGCCAAAAGCTAAATAAAAAAGACGAAGCGCTAGAGCATTAAGATTAGCATAAAGATTTTTACTATCATAGTTTACTATACAAAAGCATCTGAAACAAGAAGTATCTCTGTTCGAATAGAATTTCTTGAGTACTGCATATATCTTGAACTGATCCATGTTAACAATGAACAGTATTTCATCCTATATATTTTTGAACGACAGATTGTTCATGAAAAGAGAAAAAATAGGGACTCGATGATATAGATTTCATATTTAAAAACATTATGATAATTTTAATTGAAATTTAGAAAATAGCAGTTAGTATGGCAATAGCGAGTAAAAATATGATAGAGAAATAGTTGAGATCAGGAACAATTAGCAATGATAGTCTGTAATTATGACTCTGATATAAGAACGAATTCACTTACTGTTTCCACAAAATCGAATTTTTTTCTCTCTTGCACTTGTTGTAATAAAAATACATAGTCTAAACTTTCTTCTCGAAACTTTTTTGTTTGCATATGCATATTAGCATCGGCCTAGAAAAATCATGTAAAAATCAGAAATGAATGTGAATAAAAGATAAAGACAAATGATTACTACCTCTTGAAATAAATCGACTCGTTTCGATGACATTTTTAAATTGTTTTCAATAACGGTACAATAACGTTGTGTACTTTTATCATATTCTTTTTTTTTCATCTATCAACAAAAAAATAGCAAAAACAATGAAATGTAATATAAAATTATGTAGAAATATAAAAACGTATCACAAACTTTAGCTTTTCCAATTGTCGTTTTTCGAAATTCGTCTAATTTTTTCAAATAGGCTTCTGATGATGTACTCTAAATATAAAAGTATGATATAGAACGCATACTGAAGCAAATAAATAAAAGATTATTTTTATACCAATGAATCACGTGCTTCTTCAATTCGATGAAGTACTTCGCCCATATAGGCTAATGATGATTCTGTTAACGAGAAACATGAATTATAGATTATAAAATGACTGCTTTTATTACATATAACATTTTGTTACTTTAAGATTGAACAAGAGAAAGAACTAACCACTTTTAGATATTTTTTTTAGATATTGAAATTCTCATATTTTTTTATTTATTGTGATTATAGTTGCTTTATATAGAATTTTTAACCTTTGCCGAATTTACGTCAAAAATTTACTCTTAACTATCAGACAAACAATTTAACTCTTTTTTTTTTTTTTTTTTGTTTTTTCATCGGTATCTCGAATAACTGCTAGACGATAAGACTAGAGAAAATAGAAATAATTCCTATTTAATCACACACACCAATATCTCTTTCTTCTTCGCTCATCTTTTGTCCAACAACAAAAAATTTGAATGTTTTCAATGTTTCAGCAACACTTCTAGATGCTTTTGATAAAGCTAAACAAAAGATACAAAAAAAAGAACTTTAATATGATCAAAATTGAAACCAATCAATCAGACTTACTCTTATTAGCAACCATAACTTCATTTAATTTTTTTATCAACGTTTTAATACTATTTGAAGTATTTTCTAATTCACTAGAATACAAATTGATGTCATTTTTATCTTATTTCAATCAAAACAAATTTCGTTTATTCATCATACCTTTCATGTTGTCGAAGTTTTTCACGAAAATCGGGTGAATCTGTCAGACATTCAGTAAATTCTAATGGGGGTAATTTAAGTACCATGACGATTGTAACCGTTATCAATTAATAGTAGCAACAAAACAAAGAAAATTTTAATAAAAATCTAAAACAAAACAATGATTAATATTTTTTTATTGTTAAGAAAGTATCGGATAGCTTAAGATTTCATTTATTGTATTTTTTAATTGCCGAAATTGTTTTTCAGTAAAATACTGAACAGATTAGATTTATCGGTAAGATACAAAAATAAAACAAATCAGTTTAATTTTTTAGTAATGGTTCACTATTTGTTCTGATTCTTTTCTGAATTTTTATCTGCTTATCTGCTATAATAAACAAATGTCAGTCGAGGAGTAAATAATTGGTATGCTATTTAAAATACTTTTTTTTTTTTTTTCTTGACCTAAATGAGAAAAATTTTATTTTATTAAAGGCAATATCTCTCTAGGACTATTTCAAACTGCTGGTAACAAACGAGAGATCAAATGATATCAAATTATCTGCACCATCTTTAATATTGAAAACTGTACATTTTTATATGTCAAAACTATATACAACTTGCATACTGTATTGACTTCGAATGAAGAACTAATATTGTGAAAAGGTAATCGGTTAAATCATTTATTAACAAAATTAATCCATTTTAATGTTGAATACGTCTCTTTTATTTCTCTCTTACTTTTGCCTTTTACATATGAGTTTTTTGTACACTATAGGTACCAATACTATTAGTATTATTTATTTAGGTCATCAAAACAAGTTGAAAGAACGAGGAAAAAGTAACGGAAGAAATAAAAGTAAAAGAGCCCCATCTTATATGAGTATTCCTGCTTTTTTTGCTTCCTCTGCCTAGAAGCGTCACGGTAAGTCTGTTATTATTTATCTTTTTGTCCCGAACTATAAAAAAAAAACATAGTAGAGAAACGAGCAGAAAAAAAAATGAGAAGATTAAACATTGTAAATAATGTTGTGTTCTATTCTACGTGTACGTATGTGTGTACATGTTACAATTATACGCAAAAAAAACGAAATAAATCGTACACGTATTTTCATCATATCTCATCTTATCCATTCCTTCAAATAGTAATTGGAACAACATAGTGCATATATAGATAGAAATATTGAAATAAAAAACCTCATAAAAAGAAATTGTAGCAGATATCCATCGAATGCTTGTTTGTTTGTCGTCTTCCTTTCTTTTTTCTCCTTCTTCTTTAACTTTAATCTATTAGGATTGTCATTATTATTATTATTATTATTATTATTATTATCCATAATGAATATTAGTTTGACAGACAAAAAATACTCCTACAATTCAAATATTGTTGATAGAAAGACAAATGACGTCAATATTGTCCTCGGACAATCATATATTTTTACAAAAAATAAAAATCTTTGTTTATAATCAACGAATACTCATTCAACAAGGACATAAATTCTCATAAGATTTATCTCATAATAATCAACAAACTTACGGCCATAGAAAATTTTTTTTCTAGAGTATACAAATACTGAATCACAGTTACAAACGTTTTAGGAAACAATTGACAATAGCCAAAATACTTGAAAGAAATTTTTTTTTTTTTTTGATTTTTAATTCAAAGAAAAGTAAATACTTTTTTCAACTTTGCTCATTGATTTCTTTAAATACATATACAAAATTTGGCATTGATTAATAATAAAAAATAAACCTATTCAAATAAACATGTCATTTTGTATCTTATAGGATATTTTCAGATGAATAAAAATTGGTAACAAATTTTTTCTAAAAACATTTATCGTAATGTTAAAAATAAAGAAATCTCAATTTGTCTTATTTTATTTTTAAACATTTTTTTTTTATTATTATACTTTAACTAAATATCCAAATTTATTAGCTTAGAATGATAAACTTTTGTTCAAATCTTTTTTTAAAAACAATACTAAACGTATCACTATTATTTTTTATGCTTAATTAAACATTCTTACCGAACTTGTAGATGTTCAGACGTATCTATCTACTGTTTTCAGAACATTAGATAGATATTTCTTTAATAATAATCATAATAATATGCGGAAAGAATTTTCTTTCTTTTTTTCTTCTTCTGTTATGTTAAGATATAGAGATTAAAAGAGAAAAAGCTGAAGCAATGATGATAATGATGTCAAAAATACGATAGACGACAGTACGACAGAAAAAATACTTCAAGAAAAAAAAATCTCTTTCTATATATATATATAGATGTATTATATTTATATTTTCCAAACAGTTATCACTATTGAACAGATAATAAACAATATTAGAAAATGAGAAACCGTATTAATATATCGTGATTGATTTAATGAACAATATTTGACAATAAATGGATAGTTATCTAATTGTGTATGAACGAATATCATTTCATCATCAACATTTTATGCTCATTTAGATAAGATTACCTTGATCTTTGTATAATAAATAGATTATATAAAATTAATTTGGAAATGTCATAACTGATGTAATATATATCTTAAATGAACTAATAGATGTGCTATATGAATTCACAATTCAATGAACGTGTCTGTATGTGTGTGTGTGTCTGTGTGTGTGTGAATAGAAAATAAATAAAAAACTGTCGGTAAACGCAATAAGAATTAATAAACTGGTCAATATCATTATTACATCAAAAAATAGTAATGATAAAAATGTTGATGCATACATGTCTTTAATAATCAATCACACACATGATTCTGTTTAATAGAACATAAACAATTCTTTAAATGTAGTTTTTTTTAGCGGTTAAAAACTTCAGTAAACAAACATTGATTTTGTTAACCAATTTTCTGGATTCATTATCCCTTCATAATTGTTGCAATTTATTATGTTATTAAATTTGTTAATCCAAAGCTATCATCTGGTAATGACAACATTCCAGCTGTCGCTCTTGGATATTTTTTATTCTCATTTCTTTATATTCTTTGTTCTTTTTTTTTTAATTCTCTATGATAGTTTCTCTTATTACTGGAAAGTCTAAAAGATATATATGTTACTTAAACATGATCTGACGGTTATTGTTGATCGTTCTCATATTTTCAAAGTTTTTGAACGTCTATTGATATTGTAACTAATTACGTGATGAATATTAACAACATAATTTATGTGAAATTAAGCAATTTTTAGCAGGCGCAAGTCTGCACTAGGTCAACTTTTGACTTTACTTCAACAATTTCAAACATCTTCATATAAAATCAAACATACACTAGAACTTTTTATCAAGATTGAAAAGACCTTATCACATTTGGCATAACAGGCTCGCTCTGTTTCACATTACCATAAAACAATGTTCTATTCGCGTCAAAATCACGTATAATAACAGGTGTCTCATAATGAGTCGCTCCATATTTTAACTATAAATTGTTCTCTTTTTAATGCTAAGACATATTTTTCTCTCCAAAAGATGCGCCGTCAAATTCTCTACAAAATGTGTGCTAAGTGTTTTATTCCAGAATAGAAAAGTGACAAATTGCATGACTGAGAAACTTCAAGACCGCCAACTTTCCAACTGCTACGCTAAAACGATGATTTTTGGCGAAACGACTTAAAACACAAGAATTCGCTGTAACTAGTTGAAGAATTCTAATTATAGCTAGATATACTTTTTGAAGCCCTACAAAATGACAAGCTTAATTTTTTTATGTCTTAAAAAGTCAAGGGATAAAACCGAAAAAACTGTTTTCTCAGTTGGAAAGTTGACGGTCTTGCAGTTTCTCCGTATTTTCCATGTAGTTTGTCACTTTTCTGTCTGAAATAAAACACAGTCATACATTTTGTAGAGAATTTGACGGCGCATCTTTTGAAAAAAAGCCTGTGTCTCAGCATTGACAAGATAAAAAGTTACAGTCAAAATATGAAGAGGCTCATTTATTATGAGGCACTCGTTAATTGAATTTCAACAATGTTCTCTATATGTGACTGACTAAACTGATTAGGTATTTTTTCGCTGCGCTCATTTCTAAAATATGTGGTGAAGATTGTTGAGAATATACCATCAACGATCGTGAGCACGACTGTTCTTTCTGAATTTGGTGAAAATTCTTTATTAAATGATCAAGAAGTTCTTTTTAGCACTTTCCATTTTCGAAACATGGGTAGTAGTCACTGAGTAAGCCAATATCCAAAAAAAATCCCCTAATTCCATGTAAAAACATAACGGAAAAGTGTATGTCTTTCCATATGTATAGATAACGAGCTCAGTTTGTAGAAAAGCGACATGTGTTAAAAAAATGTAGGGACGGAGAGCAAGACTTTTAGTTCTGTTGAAATTAACGTTGACGAGTATATCATACTGATCGTAAAGTTTTTCTTCGTCCTATATCTTTGTTTCTAGTCGTGAACTTTACACTTATGCTTCATGTGTAAACGTTCTGTTTTAAAACTGTTGATTTATATTTCCTAGGTTTTACCAACGCTCTGTCATGTTTCAATACCTTGTATATAATTATTTTTTGTATGATCAAACGTTCAAAACGGATATATCGGCATTTTTATTAGTAATAATGGAAAAACCAAATATAAGGTACTTGGTATTACTTTAGCAGATAAGTAATAATTTAGATGCTCCCCAAAAATGCAGTAACATAAGAACTAGTATTCCCCCCCCTAGTTTCTAAAAATTGAATGAAGATGTGATGAAGTGTTGAATAGTAGAAATCATGAAAGAGGAAACAATAAGGAAAATTACGGAAATTACGTAAAATTACGGAAATTACGGAAATGATATATGCAGTGCTTGAATGTACAATTCTATAATTGAAGCTTTTTTGTCAGTCTATTTAGATTAAGTGAGTCAACTAAAACTCACGCATGCCATCGTTCGTCTACTCTCATTTCGTTATAGGAAAGCATCATCATACTCGAGATGTGAAATATGAAATGAGTCATCAAAAAATAAAGTCGGCCTCTTATTTGTGCACGATTTGTAACGAATCAGGTATGACCGCTATTTCTATCCACTCTGTGATATTACGAATCTCTCCTATAGTTACTATTTATCATTCGCCTACCCAAATTCTTTTCATAATAAAACGCTTACGTATAAAGAATTTTTGCTTATTGAAGGCTTCACATAACTGTTTATTGGCTAGCAGAAAATTATCCATAGTTTACCTCTGGGATGAAATACAGTGGACTGGGTCCTGATTTATTCAGGAGTCAGTAGTAATTGGATAATCGATATGACTACCATGAGCTGATGTTGGTTAAAAAGATAACTTTAGTTGATGATCAGGGTGTTAGACAATATTCAGGATTTTTTGTGTTGACTCTCGACTTCAAAAGCCTCAAGATAATCACCACGTTTCTTAGTCGGAGGTTCTGGAAACGCTTTATGGTGTAGCGATGAGTGTACGTCAACTGTTTTCCTAGGAACACCTGCTTATTTATTGATTTATTGCTTTTCTATACTAGAATTTGAAGCTCAATTCTGGATTATCGATTGAATATTTTTCATTATCTAAAACGGACTAAGACAGACTGACATCTCTAAGTTTATTCTGACGGCTCTGTTTCTCTTATTTGTTCTCAGTTTTGAAGTTTGTTTATAATTCAAGTCTGTTAGTTTTTTCCTGCATGAAATGAAAATCATCTGTTAAAAGTCTTCTTGTGTGTTTATTTTAGGTTAGGAAAATGTCGACTCAACAGGCATCAGTAAAAACAACTGTCGTTAAAACGACTACTTCAACGACGAAAAAGACAGCTGGTGTTGTTGGTGAAAAAAAGAAAATAAATTCTCATCAAAATCAACGTTTAGGTACAATTGGTTTGATGAAATTTTCTCGTGGACGTATGTTTCATCGTCGTGCTATTTGGCGTATCGGAAAATGGAAGGAAGAACAAACAAAATTAAAAGAAACACAAAAAAAGACAAAGTCATCTTCGTCAAAACGTAAAGAACCAGCACTGAAAAAGAAACCAATTGGTGGAGATAGAAATGGAAAAGACCGTCTTGTTCGTACAAAGCGTTTCGTAAGTTTACTATTAGAGTAGTAAGACTAATTTATCATCGATATTGTTGCATATTCCAATTGTTTTTATTATTTAGCCACGATTTTATCCAACAGAAGAACGCCCAAAAAAATTTCGTATTAAACGTAAAAAATTCAGTCAACATACACGAAGATTTCGTCCAACTTTAACACCGGGCACAATCGTGATTATGGTAGCTGGCAGACATGCTGGAAAAGTAAGAAAATATTTGCAGCTAAGCTTTTACTAAGTTTAACTAACTTTTGCTTTATTTTGTATAGCGAGCCGTTATTGTCAAACAGTTAAAATCTGGATTGTTACTTCTTACAGGTATGTATGAGAATCAAAGATATTTTTTTATTTAAAACAATGTCGAACATTCATTTGATAATTAAAACATGATTAAATTTGACTAAAATGAAGCTTCACTATTCACTTGTTGATGGGCGTGTTCTTTTTACAAAATGAAAGAACAGTATTCAGTACACTTGAAAACCGCCATTTTTGATTTGGATAATTAGTATTTCAGTCCAAAAATGATATACTGATCAACTTATATTTACTGTGTTTGTTTATCTATGTTCAGGTCCACATAAATTCAATGGTATACCGTTACGTCGAATGAATCAAATGTATGTTATTGGAACAAGTACAAAACTTGATTTGACAAACGCAAAATTAGATAATGTGGACGATAAACTTTTTAAACGCGCAAAGAAACAGAAGAAAAATGCTGAAAGTGATATATTCAATGCCAAGAAAGAAGTAAGAAGATTGCTTAATCCGCTATTTTTTTATCAATTATTATTTCTTGTTTATGATATAATTTTCTAATTCTATCCAGACAGGCTCCTTTTAATCTCGATGCATGTTTTTGAATAAATCCCTTCCATCAATGATTTTATTTTCTCGCACAATATATTGTTGATTTTCTTCATGAAAAATCCTTACTACTTGTTGTATTTTTTGTAGAAATTTCAATTAACTGATGAACGTCGTCAAACACAACGAGAAGTAGATGATATTGTCATAAAAGCAGTCAAAGCACATCCGGATAGAAGACTGTTACGTCGTTATTTGAAAACACAATTTCAATTGTGGAATAAAATGCTGCCACACAAAATGAAATTTTAATTTATAGAGAGAAAAGATACAAAAGAAGAAGGAAAATTCTTGTTTTGTTTGTTATCTTTGTATTTTTTATTGTTTTTTTGCTTATAAAAAAACAATAAGATGAAAATAACGTTGAAAAACGAAATATATAAATAAGACGGCTGTTTCTCGTCTCCTCTATTCGCTAAACATGGATCAGAGTGTATGAATTGTTGATGGTTAACAATCCACTTTGACAAGGTCTTTGACACACATATATAAGTAAAACAGCTATGTTTGATTTTAGCAGTGCCGTGCCTGAGGGAGAGGTATAAGAAGGTATACGTTCCTCCTGCTTTTCAAGAAAATCTTTTCTCCCAAAAAATTTCGTTAGACCTCTTGCCCAGATTTGGTAACGAATAGAATCAATATTTAACGAAAAACTGCTTTCTCTCAAACTATTTGAGGGCAATATCTTTCTCATACGTTTTTTTCAAAGAGAAAAAAAGCTCAAATTGATAACGAAGATAATAACCAATAGATATATGTGTATAAAAGAAAATTGTTTTCTGACTTCTATGGCTATCTCCCAAAAAAATTTACACCTCTACTACTTTTTTTCTCTCACCACAACACTGGATTTTAGCAAATTGCTATCAAACGTTATACAAATTCACAAAAGATGAACAAATACAAAATTTTGTCATTATTATTGATTGTGTTAACATAACATTTTTGCTTTGTCTTTTTTCTCGAAAAAATTGAGAGAAATATGCTTATTCTTTTCGCAGTGTAGATAATCCAATAATTATATACAATGGTAGTTCAGTACAAGTGATCATGCTAAAATTCATTTTGAATGGCTAAGTGCCAATTAAATGACTGACAAAGTACGAAATGAACACAAAAAACACTTGAAATGTGTGGAGCAATCATAAACTTTTCCCCCTCGAGTCATGTACACTATTAATCATTTATTCTTTTATTTCCAATTTTCCCATTTCTTTATTTTCCAATCTCATTTCGAGATGAAGTATGAAATTGATTATTTTGATGATAATACGCTACGTGGATGTACAATAAGTGAGGATCTTCTTAAATTAATTAAATACGTCATCCGCACATGATTAAGGGTGCCCCCCCTCTTTTCACCTTGTTGGCAAATGCAGAGGACACGTCCGACTGAGCTCCAATTTATAGCAGAGATAGAACATCGAAAAAGAAAATCGATGTATTTTTGTCCAGAATTTTCTGAGATGTTTTATATGGGTTTTCTGGACGGCTCCAGTTTCCATCCAGTCACATTACGACCCCCGACAAAATGATCCGGTCGAGCTCAAAATTTTACCACAGATGCTTTAGACCCTATCTCAGGTTCGTTTTTTTCTATCTCTGCTATAAATTGAAGCTCAGTCGGACGTGTCCTCTGCATTTGGCAACAAGGTGAAAAGAGGGGGGTACCCTTGATTGGAAGTGAGAGTTGAGAAAAATGAAAATATACACTGATAAACGATAAAATATATGTGGTTGATATAATTCAAACCAAATGTTGATCTGTCAATTTTTATCATCAAAACGACTAGACAAAATATTTCATAATAAAACGTTATAGAAGTTATAAGTTTCTGTTAGTAAGTGTAATGGAGACAAGTAAAAATGTCTATTGTTTTTTTTCTATTTCAAATAGTTTATTAAAACAGAAAGTTAGATTTACTAAAATTTCTCTTTCCATTCTTTGCAATAATCTTTGTGTAAAGTATCGAAATCAACTATTATGTTTTATGAACTGTTATGTTTTAGTAACACGACATCTCAACCTTCATAAATATAGAAATGTTGTAATTGATGTTCTATATGTTAAAAAAATCCGATCGTTGACAAAATAAATTTAATAGTCTTATTAGGTATATATTGAAAATTGAGAATTTTTTTAATGGACAAACAAACATTCTGTTAAACGCATGTTTTTGTGTAAAACATCTATTGTTTATTAAGAAAATACTCCTTTATGAGCTTTTTTCATGTTTAACAACAACGGTGACAACTTCTATCATTCTTACATTATAACATATTATAAAAATATTAAATATTCAACAATAGTGGATAAAAATAAAATTCAATATATTTTTGTTTGAAAAAAAAAGGCGGTCATTGTTACATTTTGAGAATAACTTTTCTTTTAGATAGATATCAAACAGATTTTATTTCGATTCTTTTAGTTCAACTTTTTATGCATTGTTTCGGAAAAAAAGTGAGAATATGTTCACTAAGTTTATTGAGAAATTTAAATGTTAGATTATTGTCTTTTTGGACCTTTTGTACTGTCGATGTTAGTTTTGACAAAAATCATTAGCTTAATCTTTCTAATTTGATCGTTATACTCTGTCTATGTTTAGTTGAGAGATATGCATTTTATTAAACAAATTCAATCGTCTAAGAAGTTGAAAAGTCTGATCCACCAACCTCAACAACAATCATCATTGTCCGAATCATCAACATCGATTAATATGATGAAGTTTGATCGTGGCTTAGTGAAGCGTTCGCTTTTATATTCACTCGAACGTGGCTATTTTTCATTTGTACGATATCTACTTGAGTCTGGTGTGGATTCAAACGAGCGTGATTTGGAAGATCGAACACCATTGATGTATTGTTGTTTTATTGATGACAATACATGGTCATTGAACATTGCATTATCGTTGTTAGAATTTGGTGCAAAAATTCAGTATTATGATAAACGTGGTTTAAACTCATTGATGTATGCAATAATTAACCAGCGTACAATATTAGTACATCAGTTTTTATCATCGTTAGATTTTGATCTTAATCAAGCGACCGATATTTACGGAAATACAAGTTTGCATTATGCTTGCTACATCGGAAATGTTGAGATTGTTCGATTAGTGGTAGCGTGTATGAAACGTTATTCGATAGATATAACAAAGAAGAATAGTCATGGTGCATCAGCGTACGATGTAGCTTGTTCATTCCATAATAATCGTTGTAAAAATTTAGTGAGGAACGAAATGGCATTAGACCAACGATGTAATAACACTAAGAGTAACCACAATAATCAAAATTATTATCAGAGTATTACTATCACACCGATAATTACTTCTCAACGACGTGTGTCAACACCGGGTCGAATCCATTCAGCTGCATCATCACACAATGGATCAGCATTATCAGTACCGTCTTATGTCCTCAGTTCATGGAATATACGAAAAAAACGACGAAGTATAGTGTTAAATGAGAATAATGTGTTATTTCCAACCTTATTTGTTAAGCCTACTGATTCTCAGTCAACTACGTTGAAAAGGAATGACGTTTTAGATAAAAACCTCACCAAACAAGTCAAAAATCGTCAAGACTATGCACCCAGTAGAATCAGTAATAATAATAATGATATAACATTAGATTCAAGTTCAACTCCGTCACTAATGTCCAATTCATGGAAAGAACAATTTCAAAAAGTATTTGATAATCTTCAAACGTCAACTTCTCGTTCTTACCGCAAAACTATTAATCCACCATTAGATGATACATTACCATGTGAATTATTTGAAAAACTATATGGCATGGGACATCATTCTGATTCACATGATTGTGGTAGTGCGAATAATACAGAACTAAAACGTTTAATGCAATCATCAAATAAAAATGTACATAGGCGAGGTTCATTATCCAGTATTGCCTCCTCGATGAAATCAAAAAAATAGAATCATTTTTGTCGTTTTTGTTATGTGGGGCAGAAAGTGAATGATCTGTTTTTTTTGTATATGTGAGACAGTTAGAATGAGGAACCTTTTATACGAGTTAGAAACCAATCCATGTTTTGGCATGATAAAAAATCTAAATAAGCTCCTTTATTTAGGTGAACCAGTGCAAACACACTTTGAAAGTTTGAAAACTATGCCATTAAAAAGAGCACATACGAAAACCTACAAAATGAGTGGTTAGAGAGAGTTTCGTACCACTTTTCTAGCACATATCCACGTGCCTAGCCCAAATTGCCCACTGTGCCCCGGTATGAAACATATTTATACGATATTAAATACTTTCATTCGTGGTAAAAAATAGTTATAGAGTCACATGATGATAATTTTTTTCTCAGAAATTGTTTAACGCCGAGCTATTTTCATGCAAGAAGTTGAAAAGTGCTGTGATATCCAAGTCTATTTCTATTGCACTTTTCTCTCGAACGTAATTATAAATCCTTACCATATAGATATTTATCTACCAGAGCTATTTGTATAAGCTACTTTTAACATAATAGAGAGTGAAATTCCATGGCGTAGGATCTGTGATATAATCTAAACTGAAGTCTAAGCTTTTATGTCTTTTCCTCGGAGCAAAAGTTTTACGAAGTGTTCGAGCAACAAACCCAAAAGAAACGTATTCTTAAATGATATTTCATTATTGTTTACATATTTAGACACTTCATATTAGTTTGAATTCCTTTTATTCTTCGGATCGTTCATTGTATAAAGTATTAGTATCTACTAGTTATGAACTCTTCTTTCAGCCCCTGTCTTCTCCTCTACCTTGTTTTTTTATGCCTTACATATTAATCAATTAATACTGCTATGTTCGCTCAACATCTATATACTTGTTGATTGTGTTGATGTCAGTTGGTGCGACTAATGGTTCCAAATAGGTTATTCCTATAGAAATTCGAAATATAATCTGTTCAGTCCCCGAACAACGATCTTCATTCAACTCGAATAATTGGCAACATGTAGTCATTTCTGTTTCGTTGAGTGAATATGTGCTGTCAGCAAATATAAACAATATTAGAAAAAACAATGTCAAACACAAAATCACAAACTGACCGCAAATTAAATTGTATTCTATTTCTCTATTTTAAATGCATCCTCTATTCTATCGTATGCATCTTTAAGATACATAAGAGCCATTAAAGATAAGCCACAACCTAATGTACGCAATCGATCATCTCCGATTTCTTCCAAAATATGGGGCTTATTTAGAGCAAACATTTTCATGAATCTTGGCGAAAACCGGAGTTATTCAACTTTTACGAAAAGCCCCAAAAACTAATATTCCGCCATCTTGAAAAA